TGGTCAAAATTTTCTAACATTACAACATTAAGCTGTATTTCCAGCACTGCAGAGGGATTGGCTGGTGCCTGCTGCAAGAGTATTTTGGTTTTCTCAATGTTCAGTGAGAGACCAAGCTTTCTGAATGCTTCTCCAAAGGTGTTTAGAGTGGCTAGTATGTACAATCATATAATAATAGAATTGGAAGAGACCACATGGGCTACAAAGCCCAACCCCCTGCTAAGAAGCAGGAAAATCATGTTCAAAGCACCCATGACAATTGGCCATCCAGCCTCTGCTTAAAAGCCTCCAAAGAAGGAGCCTCCACCACACTTCAGGGCAGAGAGTTCCACTGCTGAACAGCTCTTATGATCTGGAAGTTCCTCCTAATGTTCAGGTGGAATCTCCTTTCCTGTAATTTGAACCCACTGCTCCAAGTCCTAGTTTCCAGGGCAGCAGAAAACAAGCCTGCTCCCTCTACCTTATGACCCCCTTTCACATATTCATACACGGCTATCATGTCTCCTCACAATCTTTTCTTTGGCAGGCTAAAAATACCAAGTTCTTGAAGACACTCCTCATAGAGATTAACTATCTCCAGACTTTTGATCATTTTAGTTCCTCTCCTCTGGACACCTTCCTGCTTGTCAACATCTCTTTTGAGCTGTGCTGCACAGAATTAAACACAATATTCCAGGTGAGTTCTAACCAAAGCAGAATAGAGAGGCACTGTGACTTCCCTCAATCTAGACACTATACTCTTTTTGATGCAGTCCAAAATCCCATTGGCTTTTTAAGCTGCTGCATCACACTGTTGGCTCATGTTCAACTTGTTGTCCACAAAAACTCCAAGATCTTTCCCACATGAACAGTTGTTGAGCCAGGCATCACACATCTTGTATCTTTGTATTTCATTTTTCTGCCTAAGTGTAGTATTTTACATTTTAGTCCTTGTTGAAATTCATTGTTTTAGTTTTGGCCAATCAGCTCTATAATTTGTTAAAGCAAGTATTATCTGGAGTATTAGCTCTTCCTCCTAATTTGGTGTCATCTGCAAACTTGATAAGCACGTCTTCGAAACCTACCAAGTCATTAGTAAAGATGTTGAACAGAACTGGGCCCAACACTGTGGCAATCCACTTGTTACTTCTTTCCAGGATGAAGAGGAAGCATTAGTGAGCACCTTTGGGTTCGGTTGCTTAACTATAGAATCATAGAGTTGGAAGAGACCTCCTGGGCCATCCAGTCCAACCCCCTGCCAAGAAGCAGGAATATTGCATTCAAAGCACCCCTGACAGATGGCCATCCAGCCTCTGTTTAAAACTTCCAAAGGAGGAGCCTCCACCACACTCCAGGGCAGAGAGTTCCACTGCTGAACGGCTCTCACAGTCAGGAAGTTCTTCCTCGTGTTCAGATGGAATCTCCTTTCTTGTTGTTTGAAGCCATTGTTCCGCGTCCTAATCTCCAGAGAAGTAGAAAACAAGCTTGCTCCCTCCTCCCTGTGACTTCCTCTCACATATTTATACATGGCTATCATATCTCCTCTCAGCCTTCTCTTCTTCAGGCTAAACATGCCCAGCTCTTTAAGCCGCTCGTCATATGGCTTGTTCTCCAGACCCTTGATTATTTTAGTCGCTCTCCTCTGGACACATTCCAGCTTGTCAATATCTTTCTTCAATTGCAGTGCCCAGAATTGGACACAATATTCCAGGAGTGGTCTAACCAAGGCAGAATAGAGGGGTAGCACTGAGCCATGACAGTTAAAGTGATGTCAAACTATTGATTCTACAGCACAGATGCATCCTTGGCTAACTCAAACAATCTATTCAATGCTAATCAAGGTGATCAATTGCAACATTCACACTTACCTCAGGCAGACAAGAGTTCTTTCTCCCACCTTGGATATTCCACAGATATATAAACCTCACTTGCCTAATTTCCAACAGACCTCACAACCTCTGAGGATGCCTGTCACAGATGTGGGCAAAACATCAGAAGAGAATGATTCTGGAACATGGTCATACAGCCTGGAAAACTCACAGCAACCCAGGGATAGAAATTAACCAATATTAATATTAATAATGATGATCTCCTTGAGGCAAGTGGTGCCAAACCGTGTTAATGCCACAGTGTGTAGATGCTGCACTCCCGGGCATGCTTTAGTAAGGTTCTCAAACTTTCTAATGTTTCGACCCCTTAATTCAGTTCCTCATGTTGTGGTGACCCCCAATCTTAAAATTATTTTTGTTGCTACTTCATAACTGTAATTTTGCTACTCTTATGAATTGTAATGTAAATATCTGAAATGCAAGTTGCAGTTTCAGTCACTGGACCAAATTTGGCACAAATACCCAATACGTCTAAATTTGAACACTGATGGGGTTGAGGGAGAATTTATTTTGTCATTTGGGAGTTGTAGTTGCTGGGATTTATAATTCACCTACAATCAAAGAGCATTCTGAACTCAACCAATGGAATTAAACCAAACTTGGCGCACAGGACTCCCATGACCTACAGAAAATACTTGAAGGGTTTGGTGGGCACTGGCCTTGGGTTTGGGAGTTGTAGTTCACCTACATCCAGAGAGCACTGTGGACTCAAACAATGATGGATCCGGACCAAAATTGGCACGGATACTCAATATTCCCAAATGTGAACATTGTGGAGTTTGGGGAAAATAGACATTGATATTTGGGAGTTGTAGTTGCTGGGATTTATAGTTAACCTACAAAGAGCATTCTGAATTCCATCAATGATGGAATTGGACCAAAATTGGCACACAGGACTCCCATGACCAACAGAAAATACTGGAAGGGTTTGGTGGGCATTGGCCTTGGGTTTTGGAGTTGTAGTTCACCTACATCCAGAGAGCACCATGGACTCAAGCAACAATGGATCTGGATCAAACTTGGCACGGATACTCAATATGTCCAAATGTGGACAATGGTGTAGTTTGGGAAAAATAGACATTGACATTTGGGAGTTGTAGTTGCTGAGATTTATAGTTCACCTACAATCAAAGAGCATTCTGAACTCCACCAATGATGGAACTGGACCAAAATTGGCACACAGGACTCCCACGACCAACAGAAAATACTGGAAGCAGGGCCGTAGCCAGAAAAAAATTTCGGGAGGGGTTGAAATTTTCGGGGGGGGGGGGTTGAAAATTTGGGGTGGGGGGGGGGGTTGAAACCTGCCTCCTAGCTCACGCTGAAGCAAAGAGCACAGCAGGGGGCAGAGCAGCCTTCAATAGCCTGCAGCTCCGCCCTTGTCAACCACCTCCACCAAGTCTGGCCTCCTTAATGAGAGCATTCAACATCCCCCCCCCCAACTTGGTTGCTTCACTACTGTTCTGTTGCGTGCTGGGCCTGTAAATAATTGTCTTTAAAACAGGGCATGCAACCTTTGCCCAACGGCAAGCCAGGGGCCCTAAAGAGAAGTTCTCAGAGGTTTCCACCACAAACAGTCTTTAGATGGCTTGAGAAGTACAACAAAGTCTTTTATTAATGAACAATCAAACAGAAACTTCTCTTGTCTTCAGTAAAGTTAAGCAAATGATTCCAAGCTTTTAGGCAACTGGTGAATTCCTAATCTTGCCCACGAAGGACAGGCAACTGTCTTCAATAACTTCTTCTTTAAAGGAAAATCCCCTTTTTAACTTCTCCCAGGCTGACTGTAATCTAACCCTTACTGATGTGGGCTCCGCTACCAGGTCGAACTGCGTCTCGAACGCTGAGTGGACCTACCAGCAAGGCAGTAGATGTTCTCCAGCTGGAGTTCTTTGGTCTTTAGGGCTGTTTTCCTGGAAATTCTTTGGAGACTCTTAAGACCTTTCTCCCCCGGAAGGTCTTAAGGGTTGAAGCTTTTGTACAGGGGAAGCTTGCACACATCCTATACATAAGCATACCTTGCTGAGACTAACTAAAAATGGCTCCCTTCCCTTCCCAATTGCCCTGAGCAAGGGGTGGGACCAAAACTTAACAATGATGGACAGGTGACTTGCCCTATGACTGCAACCAAAGAAGCCACCTATCTGCAGAGTCCCTGAAACCTAGGACTGCAAGCAAACATTTAATACAAAGCAAATAAAGTTGGAGCTCCTGGTACAGCTGTACCAGAACAACTACATCTGCTATTGCTGCAAGTAATGACAGTGTGAATAAATTGCTAATATTTGCTTGAGATAGTGCTTGCAGTTCTGGAGGGACTCTTGAGTTTTTGCATCTCATAGACTTAGCATGGGGATTTGGTTAACCAGTTAAAATTCATGAGTAAACCAGTTTTAAAAAAAAAATCTGAAAAATTTCGAGGGGGGGTGGTTGAACCCCTCCCCCCCTCGCTATGGGCCTGACTGGAAGGGTTTGGTGGGCATTGGCTTTTGGGGTTGTAGTTCACCTACATCCAGAGAGCACTGTGGACTCAAACAATGATGGATCTGGACCAAACTTGGCACAGATACTCAATATGCCCAAATGTGGATACTGGTGTAGTTTGGGAAAAAAAGACATTGACATTTGGGAGTTGTAGTTGCTGGGATTTATAGTTCACCTACAATCAAAGAGTATTGTGAACCCCACCAACGATAGAATTGGGCCAAACTACCCCCACAGAACACCCATGACTAACAGTAAATACTGTGTAGGCTGTATGTTTTTTGGGCTGTATGGCCATGTTCCAGAAGCATTCTCTCCTGACGTTTCGCCTGCATCTGTGGCAGGCATCCTCAGAGGTTGCGAGGTCTGTTGGAAACTAGGAAAATGGGTAAATACTGATGGTCTTTGGCGACCCCTCTGACACCTCCCTGCTATAGGAGAAGGCATCCTCCCCCCCCCCCTCTGGGCAGAGAAACCCACTGCTCTTTCCCCTCCTCTTTTCTTTCTTTCTCCTCCTCCTCCTCCTCTTCGACGCCCGCCCACAGCCTCCTCCTGGGCCCCTCTCTCGCTCTTTGGCGAGGCTGTTGCTATGGCGACGGTCACGTGACTGCGCCTCGGCGGGGAAGGAGGAGAGAAAGGGGAAGGAAGAAAGAGGAGGAGGAGGAAGGGGAACCGGCGGCGCTAAGACCCCGGGCGGCGCGAGGCTTCCTCGGGCGCGCCAAAGGCAGAAGCAGCAGCAGCGGCAGGAGGAAGAAGCAAAGCAAGCAGCAGCAAGCAGCGCCTCCCTCCTCCTCCTCCTGTTCTCCCTTTGGCAACCTTCTCCTCCTCCGGCACGTCAGCTCTTCCTCAGCCTCGATGGATGGAGCCTCCCTGCCGCCCCCAGAGGTGCCGCTATGGTGGGTTTATCTCGGGATCGTGTCGCTTCAGAGGGGGAGGAAGCGGGGGAAGCAGGAGCCGGGGGAGCGGGGGGGATTCCATCGCGAAACAAGGCACCGCCGCCGTCTGGACCTCATCAAAACGCCTCTGCATGTGGCGCATTGCAAACAGCTGCAGCATCAGCCCTTGCCTTGTTGAGTGTTTTTTGGGGCTGGGTCTCTGCCTTGTTGTATTATTGGGGGAGGAAAGGGGGAATTTGCAGGTGGAGCCCCAACCTTTTTTTAAAGGCCCCACAACCTTTTTGAAAATGCAGCATCTCCTTTATGACCCCCCAAAAGCATTAAAGTGGGTGCCCCCCCCCCCCCAAGAGATTGATACAGTTGTGTCAATCCTGGATGGAGCACACCTAGTGCCCACCTGGGAGTATTTTCCTCATTGACAATCTCTTTTATTTTGTGGAGGGGAAGCATATAGGGTCTTACCATAGGGATGTATTGAATTATTATTATCATTTTTGCATCCATAGGGGTGCTTTTTGTTTTGCCTCCAATGAGGGTGTCAAATGGTTAAGGAGGCGCAAATTGAGAGCAGGTCCAAATTGATGCCTCCCCTGGCCTCATTTTCCAGGGAAAGTGGTCTGCAAAATAGAGGTGTATTAGGGGTGGTTTTGTTTTGGAGGTGTAAAATAAAGAAATATACTAATCTAGCTCCAATTAGGAGTAGGTACAAAAGGGATCGGAGTCTGGCTTATTTTCCCAGGTGGAAAAATAGGGATTTATTTATATCTTTGGGAGGTGGTGGTCTCATTTTCCAAGGTATGTGGTCTAAAAAATAGAGGTGTATTATGGATGGTTTTGTTTTGGAGGCGTAAAATAAAGAAATATACTGAGCTAGCTCCAATTAGGAACAGGTCCAAAAGGGATCGGAGTCTGGATTATTTTCCCAGGTGGAAAAATAGGGATTTATTTATATTTTTGGGAGGTGGTGGCCTTATTTTCCAAAGGATGTGGTCTAAAAAATAGAAGTGTATTATGGATAGTTTTGTTTTGGAGGCGTAAAATAAAGAAATATACTAATCTAGCACCAATTGGGAGCTGGTCCAAAGGTATTATTTTCCCAGGTGGAAAAATGGGGATTTATTTATATATTTTGGTAGGTAGTAGCCTCATCTTCCAAGGGATGTGGTCTAAAAATAGAGGTGTATTATGGATGGTTTTGTTTTGGATGCGTAAAATAAATAAATATACTAATCTAGCACCAATTTGGAGCTGGTCCAAAGGGATAGAAGTCTGGATTGTTTTCCCAGGTTGAAAAATAGAGGTCTATGTATAATTTTGGGAGGTGCTCGCCTCATTCTCTAAGGGAAGTGGTCTGAAAAATAGAGGTGTATGGATGTTGTTGTTTTTTTGTTTTGGAGGCGTAACATAAATAAATATGTCCAAAAGGATAGACCTCTGGAATGTTTGCCAAGGTGGGAAAATAGAGGTCTATGGATATATATATATATATATATATATGGATATATACACACACACACACACACACACACACACACACATATATATATATACACATACATACACACACACACACACACACACATATATATATGGGGGGGGGGAATATGGGGACAGAAGTGGCTCCAATTGGGATCAGATCCAAAAGGATGGGGCGCCGAGGCTTATTTTCCGAGCCATTGTCTTCCACCCCATTGGTGGTCCGCTTCTCTATTGTTCCCTATTTATCCTTTATTCCTTCCAAAGAAAGATGGGACTCTCTCTTGTCTTTGATAAACAAGATCTCATGCGTGGATCCGCTAGTCGTCGGAAGAGGTTACTAATAATAAAGCCTCCCCCCACCACCACCCTGAACTGGATCTCAAGGAGGGAAAGGCGTTCTTTCCTCTGCCCACTAAAATATTTTTATGTCTTTCCTTCTTCCTTTTTCCCTTCCTTTTCCCCTCCTCTTGCCATGTTTGTTTTCCTTTTTTCACCCCCTCTCCCTGACTGACAATAGACCAGGCCTGTGATCTTTTATCAGCCAGGTGAGACCCACAGAAAGGTACAGTCTTGGCCTTGCCCAAGGTCACCTGGATCAAAGGCTGTCCAGATAAAGGCAAGGCTCCTGTATCCATGCATCGCGGTTATGTGTCTACAAAGGCAAAATAGCTTTCAGCCTGGCGCAGCTAGTCATCATTGGGGGGAGCGGGTGTTGTTTGGGAAAAACAGCATCAGAAGACATTCCCCATTCACAACTCTCACGAGTATGAATTGCATCCCCGAGATCAAATATATGGATCACCTCTGCTGGCTGGACTGCCTTGTTTGGTGTAATTCTTCTTGCAGGCTGCCATTGAGAGAGAAAAATATAAATCCATTTTTGAAGGGTTGCTCAATTCTGTAGGGTAAGTCCCTTAGCCTCCATCTTGAGAGAAAAGGCAGGAAATAAAAAGCAACCCTTTCTGATCCTTGGGTAGGGGTGCATTTTTTCCTACATGGCAAGGCTGTGTGTTTTTCTCCTCCTACTCAAGGTCCAACAGGTCATGAAAGCTGGAGACATTGGGACTGTGTTGTTAGTTTTTGCTGCATCTTCTTTGCACGGTCAGTTGGTTGTTGTAGAGTTCTTTTTTGATGATTTCTTGTAGAGTTGGATGAAGTTTATGTGCTGAGTTCTTTGACAATGTACGTCAGGCTCACTATCAAATATAAATAACTATTTAAGCTGACTGGCTGCTTCCTCTTCTTCCTTTTCTTCTTCCACCTCCTCTTTTGTAAAGTCTTCCACTCGGTGTGCATCCACACTGTAAAATGAATGCAGTTTGACACCACTTTAACTGCCATGGTTCAGTGCTGTGGAATCATTTGGTGAGGTGCCAGCACTCTTTAGCAGAGAAGACTAAGGCCCCTTCCACACCGCTGAATAAAATCCCACATTTTCTGCTTTGAACTGGAATATATGGCAGTGTGGACTCAGATAACCCAGTTCAAAGCAGATATTCTGGGTTATATGGCTGTGTGGAAGGACCCCTAGAGACGTGTATCTAAAACTCCCATGATTCCATGCCATTGAGCCATGGCAATTAGGTTAACATAGCATAGAAACTGTTATAAATTCTGTAGAGTAAGATGCACTCTGACATAAGAATCGCTGTTTAGTTGGCATGTTTAATTCCAGAAGACTTAGATTAGTCTCCTCTGTAGAAATCTTGCACGATAATCTCCATAACCCAGTCCCAGGGCCCTTCCACGCAGCCCTATATCCCAGAATATCAAGGCAGAAAATCCCACCATATCAGCTTTGGGTTATCTGAAGCCACACTCAGATAATGTAGGATTTTTTACCTTGATATTCTGGGATATAGGGCCGTGTGGAAGGGTCTCCAGTGGGTGTAGTGCAGCGTTTCTCAACCTGGGGGTTTGGACCCCTGGGGGGGAGGGTCATGAGAAGATGTCAGAGGGGTCACCAAAGATCATCAGAAGACACAGTATTTTCTGTTGGTCATGAGGGTTCCATGTGGGAAGTTTGGCTCAATTCTATTATTGGTGGGGTCCAGAATGCTCTTTGATTGTAGGTGAACTATAAATCCTACAACTCCCAAATGTCAAGGTCTATTTACCCCCAAACTCTACCAATGTTCACATTTGGGCACATTGAGTATCCGTGCCAAGTTTGATCCAGATCCATCATTGTTTGAGTCCACAGTGCTCTCTGGATGAAGGTGAACTACAACTCTCAAACTCAAGATCAATGCCCACCAAACCCTTCTAGTATTTTCTCTTGGTCATGGGAGTTCTGTGTGCCAAGTTTGGTTCAATTCCCTCATTTGTGGAGTTCGGAATGCTCTTTGATTGTAGGTTAACTATAAATCCCAGAAACTACAACTCCCAAATGACAAAATCAATTATCCCTTCCCCCCAACCCCACCAGTATTCAAAATTGGGCATATTGCATATTTGTATCAAATACATCCTACATATGAGATATATATGATGATTCATAACAGTAGCAAAATTACAGTTGTGAAGTAGCAACAAAAATAATTTTATGGTTGGGGGTCACCACAACATGAAATGTATTAAGGGGTTGCAGCATTAGGAAGGTTGAGAAACACTGGTCTAATGGTTGAGGTTGGTGAATGTCGTTGTTTGACACATTAAGAGGTCATCCCTTTGGGGAAGGTGGCTCTAGTATATTCCCAAAGGGTAGTATGATGTTCGTTTTGGGGTACAGCTGCAGGACATCCCTGCCGATTTCCCCCCAACACGCCGAACCAGCCAGCAGCATCAGGACCAAAGAGGCTTTCAGGACAGAGAAACTGTATCCCGGTGTTTAGAGAATGGACTTCATACAACAAAGAAAAATGATATGTTGCTTAATTTTCATTCTAGGCAGATTTTTACTGAATTATAAAAGTAGAAAAGAGAGAATGGACTTCACACATCAAAATGCCCCCCCCCATTTTTTAGGGAGGGGTCAAGGTGATGTGAGTCATAGGGCCCTTCCACAAGCCATACAATCCAGAATGTGAAGGCAGATAACCCACAATATCTGCTTTGAACTGGGTTATCTGAGGGCCCTTCCACACAGCCCTATATCCCAGAATATCAAGGCAGAAAATCCCACAATATCTGCTTTGAACTGGGTTATCTGAATCCACACTCAGATAATGTGGGATTTTCTGCCTTGATATTCTGGGCTATGTGGAAGGGCCCAGGGTCCATACTGCCATATAAACTAGTTTAATGTGGATTTTATACAGCTGTGTGGAAGGGGCCATAGATAGCTGTTGCCATATTTATTCACAAAATAGGTGAGATGATTAGTTTCCATACAAACTCGACTTCAGTTTATCTAGCTCTGGCTTTGGAAATGGCATTGGCTTGTGGGCTCAAATGCTCTCTTCCGACCAAGCAAACCTTCAGTAAATGGAAGAGGTTTGTTTATATGTGCATGTATACTATTACTGTATTGTGTCAAAATAGAAGAGAATTAGGCTGGCTAATAAATAGCACCTCCTTTG